TTGACTACTTACCTGTGGTTTACTTACTAACTAATCCATAGCTACGTACCTATTTAGTGATACTTTGGGAACTTATTGGCTTACTTCAGTACCTTACTGCATTGTTGCTTTCACTGTTAACACACAGTGAATTACTATCCTCCTTACCTTGCATCACTTATTCGTTGCATTTGCAGTTTGTCTCCCATATACCTACTTTCTTCCTCATCCGTTTGGATAGGCATAGTCTATCACATAAGATCGCTATCTGTTTTCCGTCCCCATTGGCTGCTTTTCACTTGGAATCCGACCTTGTGTGGAGCTGCCAGTGGCGGTTATTATATTTCCTTTTATTTTTTACTACTGCTCTTTCTTTGATGTCCTAAACGTAGATTAACTACTGATAGGCAAACTTGAAGTATTTATTAAATCTCGGCGTGCTGTGTTGTGCTTCACCCATATAAATCATACTACTATCCCCGTAAGACAAGCCCCGCTGGTCACTATTTGTGGTGTCAGTTCTATATCCCTCCCCTCCCCTTACAAATTAACCTATTTGAGAGTTGATGAGCCAACTGTTCTCATAAAAGATTATTCTCACGATTAGTATTGCTGATTTATAAAAAACGCTCTCTCGCTGATGAACTTAACCAAATATACAAAGAAGCCAAATAGTGATAACCTACGTTTTAAAACAACTTTTAAAAAGAACTCCTGCGGTACTAAAGTATGATGGCATACTAATACACCAAAGTGCTCACAGGTTATGCTCCTAACCACCCGTGAATTCTGAAACGTTTTGAATGTGCAGCTAACAAGTACTTGTAAATACTAAAATGCATACGTTAATTGCTATTTATGCATAAATGTTAATATATAAAAATAATTTATATCTTTATATTACTAAGTGCATATAATTACTAAATATATTTATTAATCCATTTAGAGAATCGACGTGAGTATTTATGGTATCCGTTAAATGTTCTTTTCAGTTAATTTATATACGGTAACAACAGTAGTAGTCGTAGTAGTATCTTAATGCTATTGAAAATGTTCAAGTTCATGTTTCATGTTAGAATCCGAAATATTACAGTATAAGTGGACACATTTTGTCAATAATAGAGAAACGATACACGGATATTTGTTTCGATCAGCTGATGTCGGGAACGTTAACGCTGCGAACGCCACATGAACTCTCCTTCTATTTCATAATATGACAGGAAGCTATAATAATAACACATAGGGTATTATCGGATAGAGGATTTAAAAATTATTTTTGTGAAATTATCTCTGTTCACAGGTATCCTTCACAAATTAACATCAAAGGATATGTACAACTTAATGCTTACGAAAAGTTTCTCGGATAACACCTGCTGGATCCGCGAATTTTGACTGCTAGTCATGAATTTTCCGACTATTATTGTATATATTCCTAGTGTCAGGAATTTTGTTATTTACGGACTCAAAGTATTGCAATAATTTCGACTCACTCCCAAATCTCTTCATGAAAAACTATTACAATCTTTAGTTTTAATGTCACACACAGACCACACAAACAGGCCACACACACACACACACACACACACGGACCACAGACAAACATCAGTTGGC